CTTCCTGGCCACGAGGGCACAGTGCTGGCTGGGGATGGCCAAACCCCTCTGAAAGAGCTCAGAGTAAAGCTCTGACTGGAGTTTGCTGCCAGCTCTGCCTCGCTCCATGATTTGGCTCCTGCCATGTCCCTGCAGGAAGCTCAACTTGGCTTCACGGCAGTGATGAGATGCAGGGAGTGGGAGCTGAAGCTGGGCTGAGCGTGGCCTCCTCTTGCTCAGTTCCTGTACAGCAAATGGTGCTCAAGGAGAAGTTGGGGGTTGAGGAAAGGGTGTTTGCCACCCCTGGTTTGAGAATCAGAGAGTAGTTTGGGTGGAAAAGACCATTCTGATCATCTAGCACCACATCTACACGTCCTTTAAATCCCTCCAGGGATGGGGACTCCACCACTGCCCTGGGCAACCCCTTCCAATGCCTCAGAACCCTTTCAGGGAAGAATTTTTTCCTCATATCCAACCTCAACCTCCTCAGTCAGGCTCCCTCCCCAGAAGGTACCCAGTTCCCTGGCCAAGCCTATCCTGCTCCAAGCACTCACACAAAGCTGCAGCAGGATCTCATCCAGCATCTTCACGGCCTCCACGCTTGCAGCCTGAGTCTTCTTGGTCAAGTACTTGGCCTGGGTGAGTGGAGAAGACAGTGAGGGGACAACCCTGTGCTCTCTCTGATCCTTCCCTCCCTCCCCACCTTTGCAGAACCCTCTGGAGAGCCTGGTGGAGGCTGAAGGCCCGTTCCTCACCGTACCTTGTTGATAGTGTCCCGGTTCTGCGTGTTTTGACTCAGCAGGTTCCCTGCCAGGATGACACGGGAGATCTGTGCAGCACAGCTCTGCTCACCCTCAGCTCCCAGCTGCCCTGTCACCACGTCCACCAGCAGCTGTGTGCTCAGCAGGGACTCGCCGCTCCCGCTGCCCAGTCCCAACCCCGACACCAGTAAGACAAACCTGGGTGGAGAGGTTTGGGTAACACGCTGCACCCCCTGCCCAGACCCCCACGGTGAGGCTGGGGGCTTCAGGGAGCCAAGTGTGGGGGGACACGAGCCCCCATCCACCATCTCTCTTGGCACCAGGTGCCTACTCCACAGGGCACACACGGGACACAGTGCCAGCCCTGCTCCTGTCACTGTGGAGACTCACTGGTCTGAACTGGGGCCTTTCCAGGGCAGTGGTGGGGGCAGGTTGGCGAAGCAGTGATCCTCCACCAGGAACTTGCCATCATCGTGCTCGGAGCCATACACAGCAAAGATGGTCCCTAGAGCAGAGG